TCAGGAAATTGAGGCACCGTTAAGTACCTCTAAAGAGTTATCTATACAGTTTAACTCCGGAAAACAAAGCATACACAAAAAGGGAAACCCAATTGCAACCTAAAAGTAATACAATTCTGTTTCATCTAGATCAGTATTTTACATATATTTCTCTTGATTAACATAGAGCCCAAAAACTAAACTTCTAGAACCCTACATCAAAAAGTTTAACGTCTAATTCCAACAGCCACCATTCCAGAAGATATTGACCAAATTGAAAATTTTCAGGAATAACCCAACAAGACAATAATAACAATTTAAAGGCAAAATGGCCAAATAGACAGTTTGGCGCAAATATAATTTCCATCAATGCAAGACACTTGCTGGAAAAGAACTGAGAGACTTCCAAATGAGCATGATTCAGATTCAGATCCAGATAAGCCACATACCTGATATATGTAATAAACAGCATCTGAAGAACCTTCCAGCTGGGAGACTGTGTAGTTGAGCGGAGACCGATAGTGAGCACTTATCAAGAAGTGTCTCAAAGCCAATGGATGGTACCTCTCAGTAATCTACAAGAGAATGGAATTGTAAATTAAATTGTAATATAAGCTGGAATATATAGAAGCTCTAAGAAGCATTAAATAAATAAATAAAAGTTAGCTCAACCTACCTCACTAATAGTGAAAAAGTTACCCAAGGATTTTGACATTTTCTCATTGTTATTAGTAACATGTCCATTATGCATCCAGTAACTCACACTGCTCTCTTGGCACGCAGCACAGCTCTGGGCAATCTCATTCTCATGATGTGGAAAAATCAAGTCAATACCACCACCATGAATATCAAAGTTGAATGTCAGATAATGTGCACTCATCGCACTGCATTCAATGTGCCATCCAGGTCTTCCAGGTCCCCAAGGGCTGTCCCAACTTGGCTCACCAGGCTTTGCAGACTGCAAATACATTGAAATATAATAAATACGAAAACACCATAAAAAAACAGCAAGAACGAGGTAACTGATTTGGGTTTCCAGACCTTCCACAATGCAAAGTCTGCAGGATTACGCTTTCTAGAATCAACAGCAACTCGTTCACCAGCCCTATTATGTTCCAACCTTTGTCCAGATAACTGGCCATAATTTGGAAATTTTTCAACAGCAAAGAATACATCTCCATCGACTGCATACGCATAATCTTTGTTGATGATCTGCAGGATATAACAACCATTTAGAAAGTAATTTCTCTCCCAGAAAAAACAAATACCATCACAAAAGACAAATGTCCATAGGTTTATCAGTGTCAAAGTCGATTCAGAAGGACTTTATTATTGGTGACAGAGATAAATTGACTCGAACCTCCAAAGGTTTATCAGTTTCAGCAAACATAAACATCTATGAAACAAAAAATGACTCAAAAAGGACAAGCATGAAATTCTAAAATTTTAAAAAGAAAAGAAGCGCACACATTACGTTTACGTATTTGAAGCACTTACTACTTAGAAATTTAGCATTAGATTAGGCATTCAATAGAAATGTCCCAATAACTTTCCAAACATCAGAGAGTATTTCCCCCATTGTACGCTATATGATTCCCTATAAATATATCAACAACGTTCCTGCACTAATATGCTAACTATATGCAAGTATGCATATATAAAGAGAGACGATAGAGAGAGAGATGGTAGTTCATATCATATCTCATAATACATAAGCAGAGCAAGCACAAAACCTGTGTTATCAAATCCTTGATATGTTCCATGTGATCAGAAACACGTGGCTGATGGGTGGGGATAAGGCACTGGAGATCGCCCATGTCCTTGAGATATTCTTGGCAAAAACGATTGCTTAAACTCAGCGGGTCTTCCCCAACCTCATTTGCTCGATTAATTATCTGAAATGTCCAAATATTAGCAATCTCAACATGAGCATTTAAGTACTCAATGAAAATGAAAAAGAACAAGAACAGTCAGGCAATAGATCATCAGTGTTTATTAAAAGAAGATTCAAAAGATAAATTTGTATGAATTACATGTGTAAAAGAGTTTCAACCTTAATATCAGGAAAATTTAATTTTAAAAAAAGGTAAGCAGATTTGTGGTGTACTTCAGTCCAGCCAAAAGGAAATATTTTAACTAAAATGAGATAGCATAATAGAATTATGACGACGACTGAAACATTAAACACTGTAGTTTACTCCTATAAAGCAAGAATGTAGAAGAGTATTGTTAATGTTTTAAATGAATGAAAACGAGAGTCCACACTGATCAAGGAAAAGAAAGGACGGAATGCAAACAAAATTAGCTCATTATAAGATTCAAAACTCTCACCTTGTCATCAACATCGGTGAAATTCCGAACGTATGTAACCTCATAACCCAAATGCTGTAAGTATCTGCAGAGTTTCAACTTAATGTTATGCATGCCAGAAACTAGTCTTCAATTCTATATATAAGATCCATGTAAAGACGACAACTTAAATGCTCCAGGCAATAATATTATTATGTCAAAAAGATCTTGCTGCGTTTGACAATGGTCAACCAAATAGCTTTATCAATCAATAAAAAGAAAGCCTATGAATTAAAACAGAAATTCCCCAACAACAAAAAAAACATGCACATCCTAAATGCAAACCTATCAAATTCTACACTAATCAAAAGCACAATAAATAATAAGATCGAATGTTTGAACCTGTAGAGAACGTCGAAATTGACAGCGGCGCGAGCGTGGCCGAGATGGCTGAGAGCATAGGCTGTGACACCACAGACGTACATGCCGACCTTGCCAGGTACTTTTGGCTTGAAGATCTCCTTCTGGCGACTCATCGAGTTATAAACCATAAACTCTTCTTTGCTGCCGGCCATTCTCAGACTACCCACACTCTTGCCGCTCAATCCTCTGTGTAAATTTCTGAAATTGAATTCAGAAAAACCCTTACCTCTATTTTACGGAGAAGAAGAAAACCCTAGAGCTAGATGGATTATAAGTTCCCCTTTTTGTTCCCAAATAGATTCGCCTTGAAGGTACGCTTTTTCAATTTTTTGTTCTTTTTATTTTTTGGTCAATAAATAAAGGTTACTCTGACTCTCGGAGTAGTACACACGCAGGCCAAAATTTAAAGAGTTATTTCTTTAACACCCCTAAGGTTTTTACATTTTTTACAAAACTTCTTGAGGTTTTTGAAATTACAAAAAAACCCCCTAAAATTTTAAATTATTTTCACAAAATTCTTTTTTTATTGATTTTTAATTCAAACATTGATGATTTTATAAATAAAAAATTCTTCAAATGACAAATTTGGCCTTTGAGATTAGATTGTATATACTTCATTGAGGTTAATGTTGTCCTTTGCATAATTTGTTTTCAATGAAATCATCAATTTTTGAACAAATAATCAACAAAAAAGGGTTTTGTGAAAGCAAACTGAAAACTCAGGGGTGTTCGTATAATGTTTGAGACCTGAGTGGGTTTTGTGAAAACACAAAAACTTCAGGAGTGTTAGTGTAAATACCTCAATTTTAAATAAAAGAAAAGAAAAACGGCGTGATTACAGACAGTAAATGAGGCAGGTCAAAGTCTGCTCGCCGGTTTTTTTTTCTTTTCTGTTCTTTGAACAGTCAACGCCAGAACCCAGCGACTGGGCCTGCTGGACCCGATTCCATTCAAAAGTGGGCTGCACCGGGGCTTTTCTCCTATTGGACTGCCATTCATGAGGGGGGTTTTATGGAGTAAGTACGATTTACATTTTCTATAGAAAGCAATAATATCTACATTATTTTATTTTATTTTTAAAAAAAACATTATATTTTCACTAATATTTTAATTTTATATTTATTATTATTATTTTAAATGGTTGAATTTTGATTCTATTCGACATAAATCTATTTCTTATGACTATGACTTATGGCCCATAAGAAATTATTTAACACCTACCAATATGATCAAGGCCCAGATGACGTACTTGGGTTTCCTACATTTCGGGTTCCCTTGTATTTTTATGGCCCAATGGGACTCAAGGCTCGGCCCATAACATTTTGTCGAAACATGCATCAAAAACAAAAATATAAAATAATAATAGAGACCCATTTGACTATAAACTTGCAAAAAAGTTGTAAATCACGATTTTCCTCCTTCTCCCTTCTTATCCTTTCTTTTTGGCCTCTCTTCTCTACAACCACCTTTGTTCCAAAGATTTTTCCTTGAAACTAACCCCTTCGGCTAATAAATCGGGCGACTCTCTCCCCCATCATGTTGTAGAGAGATTTTCCTCCACAGCTTTATGGTGGGTTTTGCTTCTCCCCAATTTTGTGATGTATTTTATTTATCCCCAACCCTTTTGGACTGGCTTTTAAAATCCTTTATGTTGATGAGGTAAATTTGCTAGATGGGTACCATGAGATCATGTGGGGTACCGGAGATGTTGTGGCCTTCTTTGGCCAAGTGGATGTTGAGCGGTAATGCCCTTTCACTTCTAGTGGTTATGGTTCTATGTTCATGCAAAATTAGTTGTTCTCATGCTCTCTTTGGTACCATTCATTTGTGTTGTATGAAACTTTGGGACCTCCAAACAAAGTCCCACGTAAAAGAAAAATATAAATGTAAACCCAACCCAGCTAAGGTACATTTTGGGATCTGAAACCTCGACTTAAGAAAATTGGAGTACTGTGTTCTTGATCATCCAAATATTAATGCTTCTGTTAAACAGACAGATTATAGACACTAACTCCTATGTTTAAGGATTGGTCAAGAATCAACCTTTTGTTTATAGATAGATTAAATATATAAGCTGCATATTTAAGCTGATCCTAGCTCTGATATTGAGGGAAGTTTTGCTTTTCTTGCCTGCTGCAGACAAAGACACGCTCCTGTGTGGTCCATTTACTCAACTTCCTACCAGTTTAAGTAGATTTCTGGTATGGACCAGCATTCTAGTAAGTATCACCTGGGAGACTGCAAAATAATTTGATTTGATATATTGACAGGTTTTTTTTTTCTCAAACAAAACTTCTCTGCTCCAAAAATACAAATTTGCAAATCTTCACACAACCACACATTCATAGCAAATGGAAAATTTTCAAACCTAACTGTCTCTCCACAATGTAAAAAAAAAAACTGCGGAGAACCCAACAAATTGAATCGAAAATAAAACAATGAAAGTCAATCAAAAATCAATAAATTTGCAACAACATTAATTTAGAATGATCCCTGCCTCTGCATTCTCATTTCTTCATAGAACCTGTCAATGAACATCTGAGCCCGCAGGTCAATTGAAGCTTCTTCATCTCCCCAATCCAACGGCTCCAATAAAGCCACTGCATTGTCATCTTCTCCAGTGGCAGGAGGAAGAGCCTCCATAGTGAAATCTCCACATATATCTTCTCCTTCAACTGTCAAGCTAGAACCCCAACATTTGCAAAGAAAGAAGAACAGAGAGTATATGTCTTGAGGGCTTCTGCTCTTCATGAGCTGCCTTCTGTGGTAATGAATGAGGGGAGTGTTAGAAGGAGAAAACTGGTATTCTCCACGGAACCCATTGTTGTAATGCTTCAGAAGCTTCAACTTCTTTGAGGTTTGTAATTTCCTCCTGAGAAATGAGTTTTCAAATGACAGTTTTCTCACTTTGGCAATGAAGATAAAGATCCTAAGGAGCTTTGAGACCTTTTGGAAAATGGGTAGTCGTTTTTTGGACATTTTGGTGGAAAACTATGGAAGTAAAAGAGGTGAGAAATCAGATCACTCTCTTTTAGTTTTAGAAAGTTTGGCTTGGGGTTTGCGAAGGCGTAGGCTTGTAGGCTTTGGGTTCGTGAGAGCATTTAATGATACAAAAAGTTGAATGAAGTGAAAGGAATCTAACTGGTGGTAGGGAGCCAAGCTGTAAAAAGAGAGTATATTGGTCGGTTGCTTCTTGTTTTTTTTAAGACTTGATATAAAGCAATAAGCAAACTAGCCGTTGGACTTGGACCTCAAGTGGGTTTCCTTCCCTCTATAATTCTAATTTTGGTAGCACTTCTTTTTAATTTATAGCTACGACAATCTCCTTTGTTTTTTTTTAAAAATAAAAGTGATATTTTAAATTATAAGAGAGAGAGGGTTTTCTCACACACTTCCTGTATAGTTACTAAAATCTCCTTCAGTGTCTTTTGCGAAAAAATTCTTGTTAACTATTTGAATTTTACGATGGATTATTTGGAGCCAATTTCCAAGCAGGTTGTATATAATACTACAAAGCTAGTTACTTGTTTGGTATTAAAGCATACAAATATGCATACCGTATGGAGTTGGGCATGCAGATCTGGATCAAGGTTTCCTTTATCCGTACATATTCCTTAATTTTATGTCACTCTCAATTTAATTTATTTGCAGTCTGAAGGTGCCCTAACGGGTTTGGGTTGGTTGGATTGGTATGACCAAATTGAATTAGGAGATGATGGGTAGAGGTTTAAAATAATGTTTTTTTTAATTACAAATGGTTCCTGAGGTTTGCGAAATTATCACATTTCATCCCTAACGTTTTTTGTAACACTAATGAGTCCTTAAAGTTACCCTCCACATATCAAAATGGTCCTTGTTGTTAGCTTCTGTTAAATTTTATGTTAAATTGATGATGTGGCACATGTGTGGAGCCCACACATTTAATGCTATAGAGCCACGTGACTTTAAATATAATATAATATATTTTAAATATTTTTAAAACTTAAAATCCATAAAAAGCTTTTAATTTTTATTTATTTATGAATTTTAAGTTTTAAAACAATTACATTATATTTAAAATCACGTGGCTCTATACCATTGGATGTGTGGGCTCTACACATGTGCCACGTCAACAATTTAACAGAAAATTTAACGAAAGCTAACAACAAGAACCATTTTGATGTGTGGAGGGTAACCTTAAGGACCATTAGTGTTACAAAAAAAAAATAAGGACAAAATGTGATAATTTCGTAAACCTCAAGGACCATTTGTGATAAAACACCTTAAAATAATGGGTCTCAAAAATTACAATCCCCCCTTTCACTTGCAAAACAATAAAAGATAAAACTTTCCATTATTGTTTCAATTTTTTTAAAGTAGAGAAAGAAAAAAATAAATAAAGAATATTTCTTCCCAATGTCTCAAACCAAATATGTGTTTGACTTATAAATATTTGATCACTTGGAGAATAAAAGTAATAAAAAATTATTTCATTTGACTATTTCAAACTATTGGACTTGACCTTTTGTTGAACAAACACAACACAGTGTAACTGGTTTGTATCTTTGATAGCCGTGTTAGCCAATGTACATGTATGGTATCATCCTTGTTGTACATGGATGTCTGTTTTTTTTTATTCCTCTGTATTTATTAAATTTATACAACTTCCTCTAGGTTTTCATCAAGATTTCGATTTTTATAGGTTCAAGGGTTTTAGTTACATTTCAAATTTAGATGCCTCTAAAATTAGTAATTCATGTAAAATAAGAATTTCGTTCAAAATAATTAAAAAGACAGAAACAAATTTGACTGGCTCGCTATAAACGTATTGAAAAAAGTATAGTAATAAAATAAATAATTCACTATAAAAAGATTGTGTTATTTCCACGCTTCTTTCACTCCTTCTTGTGAAGTTGTGAGTGCTCGGAAAAATATGAAATATTGATTTTGGAGTTTAAAATAACAAAATGTAAGAGGGAAAAATAATTCCACAAAAAATACGATAATTAGGTTATTATGGTTAATATTTGACATAACTACACAATTTCATTTACACATGTTGGGGTTTAAAATTTTGGTGGTAGCTAGCTACAATCACAATGTTGGCATTTTTAAAGTAAAATAAAATAAATAAATAAAAGCATAGTGCGACCAAAAGGAAAAATCTTAAATGAAAATAGTTTATATCAACGGCTAGAGAAATAGATCAAGGAAGCAGCCCATATCAGAGGGCTGTTGCGGCCATCCTCACTCAAAAACGACGCATCACCCGGGAAACCCCAGCGGTGCGCAAAAGACACTGAAGGCGCACATTAGCCTTTGCCATAAACAAAAATTAAATTGAGAGAAAATAAAATCAGAAAGGCCATGATATAAAAACCCGAACGTTAAAACGCCCTCTCGGAGTCTCACGCTCGCACTCGTATATAAACTTGCGTTTCCCGGCGATTTGTGAGAGACAAAAAACAATAACAACAACAATCCCAATAGCGTTCTCTAGGAAAATTTTCCCTTTCCCATAAAATCCCTGAGATTTTCCGAAAAAATAAGAGAAAGAAGGACGAAGAGAGAGCTGTGATCTAAGACTGGCTCTCTTGGTCTGAGTTTCCGATAAATGGTGTATATAGGTGTGTCGGAGGAGAGAGAGAGAGTGGCTGCTAAGTCCATGGCGATGGGTTCTGAGAGAACAAAGCCTCTGCACAATTTCAACTTGCCGTGGGATTTGAAGTGGGGGAACCAGAAGCACCTAAGGTGCATGAAGGTGAGCTCCGACGCCGGCGGTAGTACCGGAGAAGCCTCGGCCGTTGATCGGCGATCCTCGGCTCAGAGATTGGAGAGTTCGGTGATGATGACTCGGCCAAGGGAATCGGAGTTTGAGAAGCGGAGGTTTCGGGCTCCGCGGCCGAGGATCGAAAACGACGACGCAGAGGAAGGGATCGAGGCGGTTAGGAAGAAGCTCATGTTTGATCTCAAAACGGCGGCGGATAAGATGAAGGACGCGATTTTGAGGGAGGAGGAGGTGGCGGTGGCGGCTGCTGATACTGAAATGGCGGTAGATGGGGAAGATGTTGAGATGGCGGAGGAGGGGGAATCATCGCCTGCGGCGGCGGCAGAGGTCAGGCCGTGGAATCTGAGGACGAGGAGGGCCGCGTGTAAGGCTCCTCTTGGTGGTGGTGGTGCGAAGGGGTTGAGAATCGAGGAGAAGAAGGCGAATTACTCGCCGTTGAGGAGTGAGGGTAACAATGGCGTGAAGTCGCCGAGGCCGGTCAGAGGGGGTTCGGGTTCGGGTTCGGGTTCGGGTCCGGAGAAGAAGGAAAAGGAGAAGGAGAGGGCCAAGTTCGCAGTGTCGCTTACCAAGAAGGAGATCGAGGAGGATTTCATGGTGATGCTCGGCCACAGGCCTCCCCGCCGGCCAAAGAAGCGCCCAAGAAATGTTCAGAAGCAATTGGATGTAAGTCAATTTCAAATTCTTACTCTTTCTTCATGACCCTTTTAGTTTCTTTTCTTTCTTGTGTTTGGATATACATTAACTGTCTGACCAATAGTAATTAATGTTCATGGTGATTGTTGCTGTTGCAGACGTTGTTTCCGGGGATGTGGTTGACGGAGGTCTCAGCTGAGACGTACAAGGTTCCTGAGTTCCCTGAAACTGCCAAGGTGATTGCTTTGTTCTGACTTCTCTCTGAAAACTTCAAAAGTCTTTGCTTTCATTGATGATAACATTTGAGGGACACTGAAAGAGAATAATGAGAATTTGGGGTCTTATAGTTTTGTGTCCCTCAGCCTTCAAATTATGGAATTGGGCTCAGCGTGCTTGTTCTGGGGTTTCATGAGTTACGAACAATAATGAATTCAAAGTTCCCGCTTTTCTTCTCTTTCCCACATTTTCAAATCACGTATCAATCAACAAAATTCGTTTTCATCTGCTTCTGGGTTGTAATTATTGGATCTTGTTTTCTCTATCTTTCACAAGTTTGTTTAATTTTGAACTGTTGGTCATTCTTTTTTGCAGAGGTAGCAATTGGAGTGAATGATGGCTTCTGTGGAATGTTTCAAGGCTCTGTTTTTCTGACTGCTGCTGCTTGCAACGCTAATTAGTGGGTATACCACACACATGGGAGTTTGATGAAAATTGAAATCATCAAATCCCCGTACTGGTGAATGTTCAGTTGCTTTGGAACGCTAATTTTGTTTGTTAATTATAATTCATCTTTCTTCTTTTCTGAATAAATGTAAATAAAGGAAATCTGGGCGGATGCTGTTATATGGAAAACAACTTTGTGCTATAAGTTTGATTTTGTGATTATTAAATATATCAGTTCCGTTTGGTATCAGTGTACCAGTCTTCTTCTTTATTTTGGGTTTTATAGCAGAGCATCAAAGTGCATGATTGCCTACATACTAGTTGACATTTTTTAAACTTTTAGCAGTTCTCTTCATTTACATCATTAGAAGACTAGCTAGGGAAATAATTGTTTCTGAAGCCTTTATCATGCTGTAGTATATTTCCTTCTCTTCTGCACATTGTAAATATTTAATTAATAAGCCATGCTCTTCGGAATGTAAGTGAACTTCTCCTGTAAATTGCAAGTTTAGTGACTAATCATGGCTCTTAGGTTCATGGAACTAGTGTAGCTTTAAGGCGGTAGATCAAATACTTGGTTGCTTTAATTTATTGATTGGGCTTCCTTTTTGTTCTAAATTTCTTGCTTGGCCTTGCCTAAAAGATATAGTAATAAAACATGACTGTTGACAACTAGGCACAAGTCACAAATTGCCTGCCCTGCTCAGTTATCTGTATTATACTACCTTAACATCTTTGCTCATTGATCTTCATAGTTGTGATATCCTTTTCCTTCTTTTTTCTTTTTTGGCAAACACAATCTTTTTGTAATTTTCCTTTTTCCTTCCCTGCTAACTGGCATTTCATTATAATTTTCTTCAACAATGAGTTCTATTCTACTACTTTTTTGTTCATTGTTTATTGGTAGTCAATTTATCTGGTGAATGTAGAGTTGATCTGTTACATAGTAGTTTATGGGTTCTTTAACAATATATTGTTTGTCTTTTGCATCTGTCCTACTGGTATGAGATGGATAATGTTTTCTTATTTAGTTTATTCCTATTAGAAGGCATGCTTGAGTTTATGGTCAAACCTTTCACACAATTAATTGGCTTGTTGAAATTTGAAAATTAATAATCGATACTTCAATCACTTTCCAAGGTGGTAAATTGTTATTTTTCTGGCTTTATATTCTTATGCTGAACGATCAAACTAGATAGAAATTATGATTGTGTTATTTCTGCATGTTTAACTTTTTTTTTTCTTTTCTGAAATTTATCATGAAATTTTGAGATGCACATCAAATTCAAAATTGTCTGGAACTCCTCTGGGCTAGTCTCCTCTGTTAAAGCAATGGCTAATGAGGAGTTTTTTTGTAGGTTGATAATCAGTAACCAACCTCTCATGATCTTACCATTCATAATTGGCTTGCTTCTGGTGTGCCTGCTAATCTGGTCTCTGCTGGACTTTTTCTATGCCAGAAATTGGATAGCTTTACTCGTTATTTGACTTATATTTTGACTCGTGAGTTTTGTGCCTGGGACTGGATGACCTGTTATTCTTGTGGCACTTGCATTTGAATACCGGCAAAAACCAAGGTCCAGTCCAAAGTTGTTGTTTTGACTCGGCAACTTGTCCTTGACTACTTGTTCGCCTATTGTGTCTTTCGGTTCTCTCTCCTCTGTTCCAACTTCCATTTCAAGTTTTGAAGCCCAACCCATTTGTTGCTCCAGTCCAGTAAGTCTTGTTGCAAGCTTTAGGACACTAAAGTTGAAACTGGAACTGCTGAAGAAGAAGTTATGGCTATTTTGAGGAATCTTTTGCAGCCGATGATATCATAACCCTACGAAACCAGCCAAATTGTGTTTGGCATGCTACTTTCCAATCTGTCATGAACTGACATTCTTTGGATCTATTTGCTAACCAAACCAACCCTCCTCTATATCAATTTTCCAGCCGCGCTTCCCATCCACATCAAGTTTTTCAACTCAATATTTTAGGTAAACTCTGTTTCCCTTGTTTGTTGTTGTTTGAGCTTCAACCTCCTCCTTGTTCTAGCCGATGTTTCTTTTGCTTACGAAAAAACCAACGATGGCCCCAAATCATCACGGATTAAAGAGAGAATTTTGATATGGCTTCATGGAACAGGGTTCTTAAGCACTTTTGTTTGATCAACTTAGAGAAAATGATGGTGGAAGGAAACAGAGACAGCGGACTCGAGGGATGGACCGTGTTATGGTGGTTATGAAAAGCTAAGCTAAAGTATATTGATGCTTAGGTTATCAGACTAAAAGTTTAGGGACCCCTTGGGGCTTGATCATTGATTCTTTTTGTTCAAACAATTCCTTGAAGCAGAGTGTTTTTGTCCTAATACTACACAGAATAAAACAAAAACTGAAGCATCTTATGCAAATCAAGTATTTTTTAATGTTCAAAAGAAGAAAAGAGAGTCATATTTACTTATTTTGTACTATGAAAAGATATCAAAAGCATAAAAAGAAAGGGATGGGAGAGCCGTGAAAGAAAGATACCTTGTTGATCTGTCTCCTAAGCCAGTAACATGTTGATATGCATGCACAATTACTGTCCCTACAGCTCCCCTCCCCACTGTAGTTTTCACCCTTCTAATAACCAAAATATCCCATGAACTATTCTTTTTTGTAATTTTTGTTTTTTCAACCATAATAATAAGATTCTTGACATTTCTTATGACTAAAATTTTCTTCATTTTACAGAGTATGATCACATGCTAGTTAATAATACAAGATGGCAGACAGCTAAATTCATCTGTACTTGGAAGATTCATCCACTCACTCATGAAGGAAACTGATCTGAACCCATCATTTCTTCTTCTTTTTTAACTTACCATTACAGAAGAGAGAACCAAACCCAAAAAAACTTACTGTCACTTTGGAAATGTATGGTGGTGGGAGATTCAGAACAGGACTAATTCTAACCCCATTGCCATAAGATCCACTCTTCCTTAACGAAGGCTTTTGCGGGCATGAATTATTGTAAGCATAATATGTACTTGAATACGATGATGCAGATGATCTTCTGCTTGAAATAGATGGTTGTTTCTGCAAATGCTGCTTCTGATGAGTTTCCTTTGGTGCCACTGTCTGCTTTGCATTTGGAGCTGACCCGGTTGAATTGCTTCTTGAAAGAAATTGTAATGACCGAATTAAGCTCTTGCCGCGAGCAGTGTCACAATTGAGGCTGCTACTTCGCCTGAACTGCCAGAAAGGCTTTGTTGGAGGCTTCTCATCTTCATCTTCATCTGCATCAACATTGGTGTCTAAGAATTCTTTCAACCTCTTCTTCTCTGTTGTGTTCCTAGTTGTTGAACGATGATGAGCAGGTGGAGGATTAACAGCCTCATCAGGCTGATGGGTTTCTTTGGTGGCAATGGCATTGGGATTTCTCTTGATTTGGACAGGAAGAATCTTCCCATTGGAGAAAAGCTCATCTGCAGAAGACAACTCTAGTTTAAGGTTATTGACAATGCAGAAGTCGAAATCAGAGCTTGAATCCAAGAGAGAAGAGTCTAATCGTTGCCCTTCTTTTGCCACAGGACATGTCTTGTCTAGATCATGAGAAAATGAAATTCTTGGACTAAATCCAGGGCTAGAAATCTCCGAGCACACCTCGATGGCCATAGTTGCTGCTAGCAGTGCTTTTTCATAAAGACCTGTATATTTCTGAAAGAAATTGCTCCAACCAAGTTACCGACCACTGTTTGAAACTCAAGATGAACCTGAAGAAGGCTTTAAAATCCACCAGACAACCAAGAATGGCATTGACTGTCAGCAGATTTGGAGTCAAATGAAAGGAAAAGTGGGAAGGAATTTGAATTGTGGGAATAACAAGTCAGAAAAAGCAGCTTTAGCCTTTTCATTTTGTCTGATCTTTGAGCATATCTGAGAAATTCCAGCATTGGAGGATCAGATGAATTAATGCAGACTGAAGCAGAGGGACAACTGAACTGGGTTATATTGCCCCAAGTTATCAGAAAAAAAAGAAGAGAGAAAGATAAAGAGAAGGAAAGTGGTTGAATTTAAGCACCGAAAGGCTACAAAAGAACCCTCCTCTATGGGGTTTCCAATGAAACTTTTACTTTTGGGGATGAGAAAACAGAGTGAAAGTGAAGTGAGTGAGAACTGAGAGGAGGAGGCAATGGCCTCACTGTTTTTATGGGATTTAAAGTCCAAAAGAGAAGCTATATAATATGTGACAGATAAAAAAAAAAATACAGAAAACAGATTAAATTACATAACTGTAATTATAGTTTTCCATTAGGAAGTTTCTATTGGGGTTCATTGCTGAAATCAATCATCTGAAATCCCATGTGAATAGATATGTATGCTACTGCTACATGTTGCACGACAAGTGAATTAATATCAAACACCCCGCAGATTATTAAAACTCAAATCCTGATATCTCTGCATGAATAGGAACAAACATTGCATGGGGAACAACTGGTTTTGTTGGGCATCTAGTTGATAATAAATAAACTTAAAATTTGGTATTAGACACAAGGTACGGTTTAGATCTAAAGGGTCGCTATTTGGATTTACAATGAATAGAGTTTCATTTCAACCAGTTCCATTCCAACCCAAAACTATTGAAATTATTTAGAAGCAAAATGTGTGGTGTTGTTGCCTAACTGGTTGACAAAAGATTGATAATTGATAAGGCAACAATAATGTGGCACGCGAGGTAGGGTCCATTTTGGACTCGGCCCATAATGTTGTTTTGTACAGGCTATTATTGTTTTGTTTCAAAGGGCTCAAAGCAGTGGTTGCCTAATTCAGTAGAAAAACTTTCTTAAAATAGGGATAATACTATTTTGTTATTCTCGACCAATAACACAATAACACGTAAAAAAATTATCTTATATTTCATCTGCAACCAAACCCTTAAGCAAAATTCTTTGTTTGGACACCATCAACATTTCTGAAGGTGTGGTGTGGTGTTCTTTGCATGAATTATGCAAATAACTGTAAATTGTTAATTATGTGGATAACTGTAAATTGTTAATGTACATAATGCATTAACGGTCAGATTTTACGGGTGACGAAATTTGACACATCTGTCAATGATTTGTTAGTCTCCATGTATTATATACTTAACAGTTACAAGGACAAGGTAGCAATGCGGAGTAAATGAACTGGGATCCATGGACACATTGGCGTAGGCCCACACAACATGTCCGTCTGTGACAGTACCAGGTGGCTGTTGGGCCTGACGCTTGTATATTCCTCGTCCCACCGCCCACATGTTATGATGTTATATGCCCTCCTTCATGCAGAAACGACATCGCACCGTTTAGGAATCTAATGAGGATGCATTTGGCATTTCCTAGAAAGTGATGGTTAGATAAACATAAATAGATAGATTGAGTTAGTACAGCTACGACCTCAATTTCATTCATCTACCAAACGCTGTCGTTACCCAATTTACCCACCATAATATCTGAAGCACTTAAAACACAATCATCATAATACCCAAACAGCCCCCGTACGCGGACTTTTACCAAACCAAACAGCAGATATTGAAATATCAGATATTCAGATCTAACCCGGATCCGACTGCATAGACCCAAACGGACCGACGCTGACAGTTTTGACTATCGATTATCGTAAGCGCTACCCTCCACATTTCACAACCGACACAGCCCCACATTTCCCTCCATACCTTTCTTTCGATCTTCCTTCCTCCTGCAATTTGGCCCAATTGGAGCTGCTTCGTATATAGGCCCGAAATGAGAACATGGAGCCCTGGGACAAGAACATGAAGAAGAAGAGGAAGCGGAGCCGGAGGCCCGTCAGGCTCAGATGCTCCGTCAAGAATTACGATTGGGGCATTGTCGGTCGCCATTCCAAGGTCGCCAGGCTTTTCGCGCTCAATTCCGGGTCGGATATCGACCCCGCCAAGCCCTACGCCGAGTTCTGGATCGGGACGCATGAATCCGGGCCGTCGTATGTCGATTCCGGGTCGGAGCCCGTGAGCCTGAAGGCCTGGATCGCTCGGGATCCCAGTGTGCTTGGGGACAAGGTTGTTCACAAGTGGGGTGCTGATCTTCCCTTCTTGTGCAAGGTATGGTTTCCGCGTTCTCTGTTTGTTTGCTGAGAAAATGCGGACAAAGAAAGGAAAATTCCATTATGTTCAATTTTCTTGGGAATTCAAAACGAGTGTGTGCTTGGGAATTCAATTTTCTCCAAGCTGAACACTTGCATTATGTTCTTTCTTTTGGTCAAACACATTATAAATCTGAGATTTAGAACTTTCTCCTGCAAAATGTTGGTAATTTTTTTTTACTGCGTGGACTTTAATTTTGACTGGATGAATCTGTTTAATTGGTGCTCCAAGATTATGGACTTTGGGTTTATTGTGGGATTTTAGGTACTTTCGGTTGGGAAGGCTTTATCAATACAGGCTCATCCGGATAAAGAACTAGCTAGGGTGCTGCACAAGTTACACCCAAATGTTTACAGAGATGACAATCACAAGCCTGAAATGGCATTGGCATTGACAGAGTTTGAGGCTCTTTGCGGGTTTATTAGTGTCAAGGTAAGACAGAAATCATCATTTGGTCTGGATTTTTGTCGGGCATATATGTATTGAATATGATCATAACTCTAAGGAGATAATCATAATAATATACCATTTTAAAAAGTCTGCAAGGACGTCCTTTGCTGCACATTTTATCAATGTCATGTAAACTGTGAGTTATAGGTGCGATTGTTCAGATCCTTAGTAGTGGAGCATAAACTCTACCTCTGCTTTTAGTTGTTACTGCATGTACATGATACAGAGCATGTTGCAATCAGTTCCACTGCAAGAAGGAAAAGATTGCAGTTGAAATCAATAGATAAAGACTTGGTTTGGATAATGCATAATGAAATCCATAAAGAAACCGGCTTATAATTTCCCTTGATTTCTCATTCTCCTTGTACTTATCAAACAATTTATCATTTCTCATACTCCTTCTGATTTGCTTGTACTTATTGCATGTTTTATATATTCCAGGAGCTAAAAGACATGCTTAGCAGTGTTCCTGAGATTGCAGAGTTGGTTGGGGTTGGAGATGCAGAGAGAATTCTACTTGTTAATGAGCAGCATGAGAATGGGAAATCAAAAACGGATTTAGAGTCCATCTTCAGTCGAGTTATGTTACTAAGTAAAGATACAATTTCTGAGATGATATCTAAACTGAAAAGGCGTCTTAATCTAGAGAAAAAGGTAATTTGAAGTTATGTTAGTTGTCTAAAGTTTTAGTGCATATTTTTATTGTTGGCATTAAAGTGATTCTTTTCTTTAATCATATTGAAGGATGTAACCCGCAGTAACTAAAATCACAGTTTGATGTTGTGCTATTGATACAAAATATGAAAGCTCTAAGAGCTTCCTTTTGGAAGTGCTAAATAGATGTAAATATAATCTAGTCATTGACCACTGAGGTAAAAACAGATGACGATTCCAACTAATTTTGTTTAGATTTTATGGAAAAGGTGTGAAGTATGGTGGTGTTTCAATTTAAGACATGTCAAGAAATTTGAAGTGATAGAGGAACGTTGTTGTTTTAATCGTCAGTATAACTGAAGTGCCATCATTATCCACCATGTTCATCTTGACTGCATCACCAGGGTTTTTTTTTCAATTACCATATTTTCTCCTTCATTGGACCAGAAAAGGCAATTGACGGTTAAAGAACAACTGGCACTCAGATTGGAGAGTCAATATCCAGCTGATGTGGGTGCAATAGCAGCATTTTTTCTTAACTATGTGAAGCTGAACCGTGGTGAAGCAATAAGTCTTGGGCCAAATGAGCCCCATGCATATATTTCTGGTGAATGCATTGAGTGTATGGCAACTTCTGACAATGTTGTTCGTGCCGGCCTTACCTCAAAACCACTGGATGTCCAAACGCTTCTTTCTATGCTTAAATACAGACAGGTAACAATAAAATTTGATTCTAGACTTTCCAGATTGTCTTTCCTTTTCTAGAGGCATGCTCCGTCTGTCACTTTTGTCCAAGAACATTAGATTTATGCATTTGCCTTGACATTATAGCTATCCCATCCATCAGTGATTGGCTGGATATTTCCATCACGTCTTTTGGAGGAGATGGGCGTTTTAAACCCTTGTTTGTTCTTGTTGCATTATTTTTCTCTCTCTTGTACATATGACCCCCACTATGTGCTGAATGTCATATGATGGGGTTATTTTACTTTACTTTGTTTTAGTATCAGCTGCTTCTAATCTGTTTTCTATTGTTTTGCAGGGTTCTCCTGAGATTTTGCAAGGGGTTTCTTTGAATCCATACACAACAAGGTATCTCCCACCTTTCGAAGAATTTGAAGTTGATTGCTGTAATCTTCCTCAGTCCGCAGCGGTAATTTTTCCCTCAGTCCTAGGACCATCCCTTTTCCTATTCACTGCTGGGAAAGGACATTTTGATGCAGGTCTGACCGAGGATGATATGGTGAAGGAGGGGGATGATATAGTTGAAGAGGGTGAGGTTTTCTTTGTGCCTGCCAACACGAAGATTAGCATTACTGCCAAATCAACAGAACTGCAACTGTATAGGGTGGGGGTGAACAGCAAAATTTATAGGGATTTGTAGTCTGCAATTACGTCGAATTCTTACATTTCTTCTTTGGATGAAGAAAAAATGCGGACCAGGATTTTATACAATCACATCTTTATGTAATATTTGCTCCTTTATTCTTTTAATTTATTTATTTATCCTTTTCAATTCATATAATTCTATAACTAGTGTAATGATTTTCCGAAATTTTGTATTTTCGATGTTGTATGTAAGTTTCAAAGATTAACATTTGGATGGAATTACGAATTGTCTCATTAAAATAGCTTATTTTTGTAATCTATGTTAATTTTTTAACGTATATTTTTATTAGGACATGGAAAAAAAATTTAAAAAAGAAAAGAAATTCGGTAATTGCTTGAAGCCCAAGTTGGGTTGGGTCAAATGAACTGCTGTGTATGGTTGGGTTGAAACAGTAATTGCTTGAAGCCCAAGTTGGTGACGATGGGTCAAACGTCAATGAGCGAAAGCAGTCGGAGTTTAAGACAGCGCGTCATTTTTTGCAATTACAAGTGGAGGGTTAACTTAAGCCCACAAAACAGAAAAACCAGAGATTCTCTCTCATCTCATCCCATCACAGTCCCACTGCAACGAAACTGATTCCCTCTACCACTGCTTTGTCTGCTTGGCTCCCAGGACTTAATTAGGGTTTTTTCTTTCTAATCTATATAGCTTTGCCAGCTTCCCGCACACACTTACTCCGAAGATCCAGAAAGTTCCTTTCCCGTTTTAGAAATGCCGGGCAAGGAAGATGGTGGCTCCGATAAGGAGAAGAACCTGGAGCTCTTCTTGAAGGTCGGGTTGGATGAGCGAACGGCCAAAAACACCATCGCCAACAACAAAGTCACCGCTAATCTCACTGCTGTAATTCACGAGGTACTCGATTTTTTATTTTTTTTTCATACCGAAATTTCATTTTTCTTGTTTATAAGTCCGTGTGTTTGTTTATTTATTCTACTAATTTGTTGTTGAATAATTTCAGGCCGCAGTTACTGATGGATGCAGTCGGACTGTTGGTAATCTCCTGTATACGGTAAGTAGTTTACTTTTAAGCCATCTGTTAACGTTTCTGCTTAAGAACATTAATCCAGTGATTACTAGTGTAATTTCTAGTCTTGGAGAAGTTACTTTGGCCTCCCTTGTTTCGAAATGGGTAAGAAAAGTTTTGTGGATTGGAAGTTCTTGAATGCATGTTTGAAAACTATTACAGCCGCTATTTTGAGTTCAATCGTGGAGCAAAATACGCTTGAGTAAAATTCTAAGAAAGAAGTTTCTAAAGTCTACCAATCAGCATAAATTTTTTCCTTAAAATGAGATGTTTTCATTCCAATCAATAATTTTATGCGCACTGGTGTTCTATCATCTATGTCAGGTTGCCACGAAGCACCCAGCAAATGCCCTTGTGCATCGCCCAACACTGGTGCAATACATTGTATCATCGAAGGTTGGTGAGCATAACTTCTTAATGTTTTAAATTTAAACTACGTACTGTATTTTATAATTCCTGTAGTTAATTGTTGCATCAATTTTCATCAAATCCTTACACAGTTTCTCTTTTCCAGATCAAAACTCCAGCCCAGTTAGAAGCGGCGTTTTCATTTTTTGCAACTACGGGGCCAGAGAATTTCAAACTAAGCGAATTTGAGGAAGCATGTGGTGTTGGTACGGTTACAATGGGTCATCTATCTTTCTTTGTTTTTTTTCTTTTTCTGGTTACAAAGGGCCATCTATTTGGACATAAATTGAGCAGTAGAATGTTCAATGATACGGACTTGTTACATAATGCTTTATATCTGGCATTTAATGCAAGTTCTTACTCTTTCCCTTTATCCATTCTGCTAGTAGTCGCATTTGACTTCTTTGAAGGTTGCAGTTTCTAAGTTTGAATTAATTGTATCATGTTAGTTATCCTGATTCCTGTCTAAAATTATAGACATTGATAACCTCATTGCTTTTGCAAGCAGGTGTTGAAGTTTCAGAAGAAGAAATAAAACAAACTGTTAATGAGGTTTTTGAAGAGAATAAGACTGCAATTTTGGAGCAGCGCTACAGAACAAATGGTTAGTCACACACACACAAACTCACAACCAAGAAAACATTATGTTATTGTAGGAGAACATGCATATGCCAGACATTCATACTATGTTTTGTAAATCTATTGGGAACTTTATCATGTTACGTTATCTAGACTCTTGGAAGTTATTCCATATCAAGGGAAAAATATATGATACACAGAAACATTCATAATTCCATAGATTGGTTGATTTGATCCGGCTCATGGATGGTTCTTTAAGCATCAGAGTTACTTTTAGTCAACATTCTGTTTGAAACTACTAAACTTCACATTCTGTTGTTTTCTCTAGTGGGTGATTTATTTGCACATGTTAGGAAGAGGCATCCATGGGCTGATCCAAAAATTGTCAAGGTGATCTTATTTTGCTTCCTTTGAACTTATTTTTAAATAATATTTCTTCTTTTAATAGAAAAAATCAGTGACAGGCAAACAATTTTCGTACTAAAACATTTCTGACTGCCATATCTTTCTGTGACAGCAATTCATTGATGCAAAATTGCGTGAGTTACTTGGTGAAAGGACTGCAGCAGATGATGAAAAGGTTCCTAAAAAGAAGAAAGAGAAGCCTGCTAAAGTAGAGGTTAGCATTTCTGCAATGTTTGTTCATTTTGCTTGAAATGTTTTGGGAGATGACTGAAGATCTCTCTCTCACTGCGTCTCCTCCCCCTCCCCTTCCACTTGTGTAGGAAAAAGCCATTGCTGTTTCTACTCCTGAACAGCCATCTGAAGAAGTTCTTAATCCATTTTTGATATTCCCTCAACCGGAGGAAAATACTAAGGTATGTTATTCCCCATTTTTGATATTCCCTCAACCGGAGGAAAATACTAAAGTATGCACTTCCAACTGTTTATACAGGCTTTTATTGAGATTCGGACAAAATACTGAAGAAACGAAAGAAGTCATTTTTATGTATTTTCTTAAATAGAGGGTATTTTTGTTGTTGGTTATCGATTTTGCCTTTGGTCTTTTCACCAACCAAGGGTTGTTTTTATGATTTTCCAAATCATACTTAGTAGGATCAAACTCATGAATTTATCATGTTCATTTTGACTTACAAGTATGACATATTTGTGAATCCTTACTTTTTTGTTGTCGTATTGAGTTGTGAGCTTGCCTTCTACGGTATCATATGCAGCTCTCTGGAAGCAATTGATTAAGACATTTTGTTATTCTGTTGTCAATTTTCAGGTGCATACTTCAGTTTTCTTTAGTGATGGATCTATTCTGAGATGTTGTAACACAAAGGAACTGCTTGAGAAACACTTAAGTGTGACAGGAGGGAAAGTTTTGACCCGCTTTCCTCCTGAACCAAATGGATATCTGCATATAGGTCATGCCAAGGTAAATATACTTATGTGTTCTAGGCTAGATTCAGTGTTTGCTTTGTCTGTGGTTGTTCCTCATATTATAACCATAATTTTTGGTCAGGCAATGTTTATTGACTTTGGCCTGGCAAAAGAGAGAGGTGGAGGCTGCTACCTACGGTGAGAGTCACTCCTTGTTAACTTTTTTTAGTATTGTTTTTCTTTACATTTTCCAGTAAGAAGGGGGAAAAATTAGAATAAACATGGAAAACATATAATTGATTATTTTTATATGGGTTGTTGATGCCAACTTTATAAGATGGCATATGATGTACTATTTGTAGTATTGCTGAAGTAGATCCAATTTCCTGTTTGCAATATCTCAAACCAAGAGATTGTTTTCTGGATTATTTGTTATTGTATATAGTCAGATATAGCATAATTACTCCAACTGTTATAACAATACACTAATTGTGCCAGGATAACATATTTCAACTAATGACTGTTGCAGAAGTTTATAATCTTCCTTCAAATTTTCTAATTGCTCTTTAACTTGAAAAATAAAAAGAAATTTCCATCTGCCAATGTTTTTTGAGAATTGATTCCTACTTTGTGTCACTTTTAGGTTTGATGATACAAACCCGGAAGCTGAAAAGAAAGAATATATTGATCACATTCAGGAAATTGTAAAGTGGATGGGTTGGGAGCCTTACAAGGTAAAAAAGTTGGTTGGTACATCTTTTGCCGCTTTGCCTTGTTTCTTTGTGATAGCTGACATCTGTTGGATTTCTGCAGATCACTTACACTAGTGATTACTTTCAAGATCTGTATGATTTAGCAGTGGAGCTCATACGAAGGGGTCACGCTTATGTTGATCATCAGGTTTTGTTCAAAATTTATTTGAAATTTATGTGAAAAATTTGGAATATTGTGTTATATGATGTGAACATTTAGTTCTCTACATACTTTACAAATCCTATGTAGAATGTAGTTCCATTTTGCCACACCATGCTCGATCATGGATTATATATTGCTGGCTAAACCTCTAAACTTTCAGTGGTACTATCAATTGATTAACATTTCACCTTTGCAATCATAAGTTTGGTTTTATTTACTAATCAACATTGGTTTGAGAAAGATTCTTACTTTTGTTAATATTGTTTTTAGACACCTGACGAGATAAAGGAGTACAGGGAGAAAAAAATGAACAGCCCTTGGAGGGACAGGCCAATTGCAGAATCATTGAAACTTTTTGAGGATATGAGACGAGGCCTGATTGAAGAAGGCAAAGCAACCCTTAGAATGAAGCAAGACATGCAGAGTGATAATTTTAATATGTATGACCTTATTGCATATCGTATCAAGGCAAGTGTGGACCTTAAATAATCCTTTTGATTACTCAAGCTCATGGACGTTCTCATTATCATGTGTGAATTTTTTTTTAAATCTTTTATAGTTTACTCCTCATCCGCATGCTGGAGACAAGTGGTGTATCTATCCAAGTTATGATTATGCTCACTGCATTGTGGATTCTCTTGAGAATATCACACATTCGGTATGCTTTTTACCTTTGGTTAATATTCTTTCCTAAGATATGATCGTGGTATAATTTATGATCTTCCCAAATCTGCAACAAAAAGTAAATAAAGAATTCATGCCAAATTTATCTTAGGAACTTTTCTTTTTAAGAACAAGCATAGAAAGCATCACTTCTAGGTTTCTCTCATAAAAAAGAAAAATAAGCTATACTTTATCTCAGTGGCTCAATTCTGGAGTA